GGGGTCTCTGTGGGTGCCGTCAGAGAGGCAGCACCCCAGGTCAGACAGTGGCCCCTACGGCGACTGTGGGAGGGTCCTGGGGACCTAGACCCTGCTAGCAGCGTGGCCTGGGCCGGGAGGACTGGGCGGGTCACGTGCCTCCTCATCCCCCAGCTCGGCAGGTATGGCCATAGCTGGCCATGGCCGGACGAGGCCCCCGCACACGGCGGTCTCTGGCACACACGGGTGCCTCAGTTTCCCCAGCTGTCGGCGCTCCGCCCTCCTCCCCACGCCTGGGCACCTGGGGACGTGGTGTGGGCAGCCCGGAGGAGAAGGCAGGGACAGAAGGCGGCTGCCCGGGGCTCCCCACCCTCCCTGCTCCAGCCTCGACCTCGATGGCCCCCGAGCTGTGCTCAGGCCGGGCCCTGGTAGAGGTGCACACCCCAGGGCAGGGCCCCCGCCCCTGCAGCCTGACCGCAGCCCGAGCAGCCTGGGCCCCCACGACCTCCTCTGCCCACTGCGGTCTCTGCCTTGGCCTCGAGACAGCGGCTGACCGATGACAGTTCGGGGCAACAGGTGGCTTGAGGGGCCCAGAGTGCTGGCCGAAAGGGGACTCCAGCCTCAGGTCAGGCAAGGCTGCAGGCTCGGCCTTGGGGCAGGGGCGGCCTCGGTCCCCTGCTGTAGACGGTGCCCTCTCTCCCTGGGCCTCGGGCCCCTGGGACTGTCCCCGGCCCTCAGGGCCCCGCTGCTAATCCGCCAGCAGGCCGGCCTCGGTTTCCCTTCCCGTCTAATCCCCGATTGTTGGAGGCGGTTTTACATATATTTAGAGGCTTTTCATAATAGATTTACCGGGCCCAGAATGCCCCCGGATTAGCTGCCCCCTAATTGAAAACACCCCTGCAGCCCCTCCACCCCCTCAGCTGGACCCAGAGGGCCCCCTCGGTGCTCAAGGGCCCAGATGCCATGGAGGCCACCGGAATCTCACAGGACTCAAAGCTGGGCAAGAAGCCACCGCCCCGGAACAGGGGTCTGGAGTCTTCCCATTTTTTTT